GAAGGCATTGTGTGATTAGTGTGTTTTTCCAGAATGTTTTAAGTTATCTAGGAATTTATATTTAATCATGATCATCAAGGATGGGACACTGTAGCCACCTTGTTTTGACTGTTTGCTTAAAAAAAATACCCGAATGTATGTGCCAAACGTTATTCTCCTGAATTTTTCATTTTGGAACCGCACTTACCTATCTTTTATATGTTTATCAATGTGTGTGTGTGTTTAACAGTGTCATAGATTTGCATGCTTGTTATGTTATATATAATGCTACCTCCGTTTTTATTTGTTATATAGTCGGTTGTAAAAGCCTTCCATAGGCTTGTGTTGCCTTGTTTAACCATGTACCGAATTTTAAATAAAATTTATTTGAACTTGTAGACTTTCTCAACAAATAGAACGTTAAATACTATCAGGATATGATATCCTGACGACGGCGGAGCGTCTAATTACCCAATACTACCCAATACCACTTTACTATAGTGTTTAGTAATATGCGATTTGGTGCCGAAAACATCACCGAATTGCCGTGACTATGACCCAATACTACCCCATACCACCCAATACTCCCCAATACTACCCCATACGACCCAGTTATGAACCAAATACTTCCTTATTACTGTGAAATATCACATTTCTTGAAGTTATTTACTTCTATATGTCACATCCTATCTGGAAATATGCGATTTGGTGCAGAAAACATCACCGAAATGCCGTGACTTGGGGTTCGACGATTTATAACAGGAACGGACAGGAACGGGCAGAAATCTATTAATTATTTTATATACATTAATGAATATATATATTAGATATTTTTAAAAGTATCATTATCGGGTATAAGATATATTTGATAAAAGAATTGCAATTACATGATACTATATTAATTCTATTCATGTCATAAAATGGTGTTATTAAGATCATATATATAAATTTATCAGGAAATATTAAGAAAATTTGAAATTACTTTTCAAAAATGTTAGTTATTCAATTTTGTTAAACATAACAGTATCAATTATATAACAATGCTGGAGAAGAACCTTCAGTTAAATCAGATACTCAAATACTATGAAATTCAAAAAGTATATGGATTGTATATGATTCGAAGTCCTTTCAATTACTTGATTAACTCACAGATAGTCTGTTTTGGACAAGCTAGATATAGTTCTCTGACCAATCTTATGAAGGGTAGACGAGTAGGTTGTCATTAATCAATGTAAAAATTAAATAGATAAATAAAAGGAACTACGTTACGCTTCTTATACATCAATCCAGAGACGCATATATTACATAATGAGGTGTATACTGGTACCGAATCTAAATCACAGTTACAGGTAAATATATATATTATAATTTAATTTTATAATGTCTTCCGAAGAATTACAAATTCCACTTGCAAACCACTTATATAATATGTACAGAAGATGTAGCAGTCTATGTGATTAGTTATTATTTTAAACAGTGTCTTGTAAGCCATTTTAGGCTGAATATCATATACAATTGCATTTTCTATTTTATGCATTTCTTAAATATGATACCAGGTGTCAATCAGAAACATTTTTTATGAAAATAATCTTCCGTTTAAATTATAATTAGCTATTAGTTAGTGTGAATTTAGCAGATCTCGCTGGTAGGGGGCTCCCCAACCCTTGTAAACCTAAATTTCACTACAATGTAGAACTAGGAAATTATTCATTTCATTTATCACCATTGTTATTGGTTTTTTTTAAAGACACCATGTTTTAAGGCAGTAAATGTAAAAGAAACCTTTTAACTTTTATAGTATTTAATATGTAGGGACAAAATCCAGGAGTTTGTTAGGTAGGGGCTGTCCCAATCACCTGCTCTCTGGATTGGTACATGTGATAGTTTGTTTTAATTTATTAATTTATTATGTATAATAGCTGTTCTTAACAAAATTATGATATGGTCTATATATTTTTACATTAAGATGATTGATCCCTGTTATGTAACTATATGTTTTTATACTGTGTAACTATATACTTGTACGATGTAATTGTGACATATGACACTATAATAAACAAAATTGACTTGACTTGACTTGACTATATATATATATATATATATTGGTTATGCAATGACGATGAAAACGGAGATAAATTTTGAATAGAATTGGCAAATAGAGGATTTTCCCCAAAATTACTTATAGTCAACTAAATTAGACGTAATCCCATTCCGTGTACAATATCTAATTTTAAACATAAATTTGGTCCCGTGCAATTGAATAGATTCTTGATATATGAAATCGATTTAAAATCAGCGAAATCATTTTCATGTAAATTCAGCATAAGCTTGTACATTATACTAGACAATTTATTTTCACCTGTAATTAGTGTATACCAAAACATTATCATTCTAGATTTAATTTCAATATTCAGAGGGTACCTACCCGTTTCACCATATACCATTATATTTGCTGTGGAGCTACGTATGTTTGAAATTATTTTACAAAACTGTACATGTAATTTCTCAATCATATTGGTATTTTCAAACCCCAAAATTTCTGAGGAGTACAAAAGGATTAGGGATATTAATACATCAAACAATTTTAATTGTAGGTCAGTTGGTAAAATATTATTTTTATATAATGCATACATTGCTTTTTGAGCCTGTTCAACAAGTTTTTTTCTTGCTTTACAGAAACTGCCATTATAATGAAACAGCAGTCCTAGAAACGAGTAGCTGTCATGTGTTTGCAACTCTTCACCAAAAAGAGTAAAACGAATATTTTGTGCAATTACTTTTACTTTTTTCAAAGATAACAACTTTTGTTTTATTGAGATTAACTTTATATAAGTTTCCAAATAGTACAGTAAGTTTCAAATTCACGGAAAGCATTCTGTAGACCTTTAGCTGTTTCTGACATAACAACTGTGTCATCTGCATATAGCAGAATAAATAATTTAACAAATATACCCATGCGTTCTTGAAATACATTATCAATATACTGGAGTTGGTCAACATTACTTTGCATGAAAACTTCTTCTAAATCATTTAAATATATTGAGAACAAAAATGGGGAGAGATTTTCACCTTGTTTTACCCCGACGTGACATGTGAAAAACTCAGTCATACTATTGCTAGTTATTACGCAAGATTTAGTGTTTGCATATAGATTAATTATAGCATTAACTATCTTTCCTGTGATATTATTCTTTAATAATTTCTTCCATAAACCTACCCTCCAAACAGTATCAAACGCATTTCTGAAATCAATGAATGAACAGAATAGCTTTTTACTATTTGAAAAATATAGAGATATCAAAGCATGAAGGATAAATATATTTTCAGTTGTAGAGTAGCCTTTCCTAAAACAAGCTTGAACATTGGAACAAGAAGTCTATTGTCTACTATTACGGAATTAGTTAATCAGTTTTGACCACATCGGCCTTTGAAAAAAAATGAAACTTAAAGCGCTTCACCGTGTTTCTTTCTTCTTTACATATACAATTAATATACAGTATTGTTTTTCTAAAACAGATAAGGCCTAACAATCCAACATATGGACTACAATATTTATTTACGTAAAACACGTATTTCAATTAATTTATATTTACATATAGAATAATATTTAATTTTCAGATTGATGTCCCTTTTTTGAGTTGGAAAATTGCGTATTTTCTTCTTTTCTAAGATCGTAGACGTGATGGGATTGTAATCTACACATTAACACCAATTAATTCACTCAAAATATATTCATGCTATTTATTAAGAGTTGAGTATAAGTTATGAAGTTATTAAAATTTAGTTATCATAATGTCATTTCCAATGTTTCAGGTGTTATGACATCGCAATAACAATGTCATATATATAAATGAGAAAATAAC